GCCACCATGATTTCCATTTTCCCTGGATTCTTGTCGGATTCTTGGAGTAGTTTGATGTGGATTGTGCTTGTGCGCGCGCCTAGCTTTACATCTTCTACTTCGAAGGTTGCGGGCCCTGCTGCTGTGCGACGGAGGAAGGAGAGTTGGAGGGAGATCGGCGAAGCGGGTGTTTTGTATTGGGTTGGGTGGGCGTGGGTGAAGTGGGTTTTTGCTAGGGTGTAGATTACTGCTGTTGTGTAGCCGCCGTGGGGGACTGTGACTTGTTGTTAGTATTTATTTTCTGAGGTGTGGGAGTGGGATTGGAAGGTTGGTTTACCGGTTCCTATGCACCATTCTGGGCGGAGGTTGGCGCTGTATTTATTTGAGCCTTGTGGGGTTACCTGAATGGCTTCTTCGAATGATCGGTTGAGGGTAGACATGGTGAGGGTCTAATGTCTAATAAAAAGGGTGTATGTGAAGAAAGAAGAATAAAGCAGTGAAGTAAGCTATAAAGTTCCCCATAGATATCGAACCTCGGCTCGGTTTTCCCCAGACCGAGGATCAGTCATCATTACATCGGCCCCGCGTTAACCTGAAACACGCAACTTAGGGCTTCCAATTTATATTAATATATATGACATAACAGTGATCAATGCCCAAATCTAGCTACTAGCAATTAACTGAACTGTTCTGCACTCCTTCCGGTAAACACCGAAATGGAACAAGAGCTCACGGTCCATCTGAACTGTGAAATCTCTGTTGGGGGCCCATACTGACTGGACCTTCCCTTCCTTAGTGATAATTTCGCGAGTCGCAATAAGCATTGTTCCAAATGGGGTTTTGCAAGCAGTGGGGTAGTACATGGGTTTGACGAAATTACCCAAAAAGTTTTGGTATACCATGGGTATACCATATCTCTTCTGAGATTTGGAGGATTCCAGCTGTTTCATCGCCCTGATTTGTGAAGTGTCAGCCTAACTTATTTGCTTTTACATATCTAAGTCAATGGATTGGATGACTTACGTAGATCGGTACCCCACAGGAACACTTTGTGGCTCTGAGACCATCAGGTCAGCCACAATGGGAGCATTCGTACCCAAGCGGTCTTTCTTATCCGAAGCCTTGAGAAGTTTGTATGCCAGAACACGTCCAAAGACATCCAGTGTCAGTGGGTTGGCTTTGGTATCGAGAGTGCCCCACGGTGCGCTGACATCGTATCCTTTGTCCTTTTCAACGAGGAAGAGACCCCCGTTAGTTCCAGAAACCATGATAGTGCCAGAGTCAGCGGCCATGAGAATCTTGAAGCCTTGAGTGCCCTCAACCTTTTTGTATTCTCGAGTGGCGTCGGCAATGTAAGGTTTCCCTGCTCCCGAGTCTCCAGTCTCGGCAGTGACGGTTTTGATGATCCCGTCTGCTTGCTTCTCAGCTTCAACGTTGAACCCATCCGCACTATCAAGAGGGTTAGATGGATGAATTTGCGGGATGTTGTGAATAGAATAACTTACTTGACGCAGCCAAGGTCCTTTTCGAAAAGTGGGATATTGACGAGCTCGTATTCGAAAACGTCGAATCCAGCAACGTGGATGCGGTTCTTCGCGCCAACCTTCAATTGAACACCATTCTTACAGGTGCTCTCACTACGTGCCTGGAGGTCCAAGTTTGCAACGGCCTTGACATAGACGGAAGGAGTGTTAACCAGCCCAACCGTTTCCTTGAATTTCCCATCAAGAACAGTGAGCCCAACTTCAAGCGCCACAGGCAACCCAATATCACCAGTAAGGGAAAATTCACCCTTTGCACGGAAGACGGGGTCGAATTTTGGCATAAAGCCCTTGATTTCATTTGTGCCTTTCAGGCTGGCAATGGCGTGTCCTGCTCCGATCGACACACTGCCCCCGACAAGCAGTTCAACCTTGCCCTCAGTCTCAAGGCTGACCGCTACACCGAAGGTCACCTGAGGGCCAAGGGTGAGGATGCCCGGAATGATCAATCCACCAAAGGGGATACTTTTCAGATCCTTACTCTTCTTTGGCTTAATAGTTTTCGTCTTATCCTTGGATTTGCTCACTGTGCCATCGGCGCTGATTCCGAACTGAGCATCTAGGGTCAGAGCATCGTTGTTGACGAAAGAGATACTGCCTTCGGTGATACCATCTTTGATGCTGAATGCCAACCGGCCGTCAATGTCGATATTGACGTGAACACCACATTTAGCGCATTGTACTGTCCAGTGGAACGCTCCAGGATTGTTGTAGTTACCAGAAGTGGCGAGGGTGTAACCATCTTTCATACCGAAAATTTCTGGTGGCCGGTTCCCAATTTCGCTCTTGAGATATTGGTGGATCTTGATGTCGTTGTGATATGTGTGGTCGAATGGGACACCAAACGGCACCAACACCAGCTTCGCGGTGATAACTGCGAGCTCAATAATCTGGTCGCCGACCTTTTTAATGAGGTCGGCTGCACTTCTGAAGAAGTCCCCAATTCGCTTTTGAAACAGAACATAAACCCATTAGCCTGCGTTCCAAAATGTCTCTTCAGATGGGAAGACACCTACCCGACCTAGATCTCTGAGTCCATTCCACAGGTCAGTGAAAATGTCTCGCCGAGAGAGCTCAGATGAAGCGCGTTTTGAGATCTCGGTCCTAGTTCGCTTGGTTCGCTCAGATCGGCGACGTGTAGAGGACCGCCGAGTCGTGTTTGTGTGTGCCTCGGGGACTTCAGGATCATCCATGTCCATGAAATCCATGGTGTCGATCTTCTCCCCCATATGCGTAGTATCCAGATCAGTGTTGTTGAAGAAGTTCTCCATTGCCCAAGGGTTCAATGTGATATCCATAGTGGCGTTGCTAGCATATTGATCAGTCACATTGCGCGCTGCTGGAGATTCTGGCCTGCCTCCGTTGTAAGGCTGGGTTGGCTTGGTGACGCGGACATGGCCCTTGGTAGGCGATCTCTTTCTCTTGCTTGGATCGTTGTATGTGCCCCAGGTCATGATACCCGAGTCCAGGGCGTCCGACTCCTGGATAGGAGTGACAGAAACCACAACGCACATGTCCACCAGGTTGATCAAAGGCTGAGAAGCATGGAAAAAACTACGCTTTCCCGAGCTCTCATCTCCGCAACCTGCATGGTAAGTTACCAGATTAATCCCATCCTGGACTAACCATGAAGCCTCAATAGTAGCCATTGCAATTGGGTTGTTGAAGCAGATTTGCATGTCATTGTCATCACAGTTGACACTCTTAACATAATCGGATTGATCTAAGATGACAGTGTTGCGCACAAATTTCGCCTCGAGGGAGGCATGCTTTGCGCCATGGAGAGCCGCTAGAAAGTGTTAATAATCGGAAGGAAGTTCAGACTCATCAAACTTACGACGATGCCCTTCTTGGCTATAGTACAGGACCTTATCAAGGCCTGCAACGAGATGCTCCAGGTTATGGGAGTCATGTTTGGGGTCTAACCCGGGATGCAATGCTACATCATTGCCAGAAAAGGAAGGAGTGACTTGCAGTAGGCCGTCCACCGCCTTGTGAAGGCCGATGGCAGATGTGGTTACCGCTATGCCCAATACGGCCAAGATGCCGTTGAGCCGCATGGCAAGGAAGATATGAATGAATGAATGAAAAGAAAGAAAATGAGTGTCAATGAGCGTTAATGAGTAAGGCTGCAGCGTATTTCTCGAAGAACATGGCCTTTTTATAGTCTGTCTGGCTGTCTCATATCGGCTTAGATCTCTTGATCTTCATTGTTAGTCGGAGTGGAGTATAGGTCAGCTTGTGACTATCGCCAATAGTACCCGCTGATCGTCTGCAGCCACACAATAGATCTACCAATCCCTTCTTCTTTGTACCTCACCCCTCTTCTATGATTGGATGGAAATAAATATCCTCAACGGACCGAACCTTCACTCTAAGAGGATGAAGTTTCCGAAATGGTCTGTTAGCATAAAAACCCCCGCTATTTGTGTACTATACGTGAGGATCGCTGCACGAGCACTAGAAAGGGATTCTCGGATGGATCACGGTCCCTTGCTATAGTTCTATAGTTCCTACGAACCCTTCTGCCGACTATCGTGAATGGACTATGTGAAATTGCCGAGCACCGTATACCTGTCACAGTTCTTAGCTCCTAACGAAGATCGCTTCAAGTGACCGTATCGGGCAGATACTATTGACAGGCTACTTAATGAGTGCGTGAAAACCTCGTTGTTTTTTTGCTGCCCCTTCTACAATTTGCCGCCCCCTTATATTTGTCTAGACTTTGTCATGAGGTGGACTTTACCTTTATGTGGCAAGACATAAGAAATTGCATCGTATTATTCAAACTGAAGAGATATTCATCACGGTGACTAGCTACGCTATTTCTTCAGAATTATTACTCTATGTATGGACGCGACCAAAACAGTCGTTACAAATACAAATCAACTCTGCCACTTCTACCCAGGCACCATACTGGCTGGGACTTAGAAAAACATTAGGCTACTGCTGCCAGAGCTAGGAGGAAATACTTCTAGATGTGGAGATTTACTTGGCATATTGGTATTCATGATCAGCACCAGCCGGCTTTTGAGAAATAATTGTGTAATACAGACAGTCGCCAAGGGGACAATCCATTTGAAAAGCCATATTATCCCTCTCGAGGCTAAACCTACTTGTACCGTAACCGTAGTATGAGATTGATGCTCCCTTGGCCCAAATCACAATTTGGGCATTCATGCATGAGGGTGGACATGTACCATGTGTTCGCAGGCGGTTCTTGTCATAGTGACAGGGGTCCACAGCAAATCATTTTGACATGACTCATGCGGATGCCGGACAGGGTACTTAAATAGGCAAGAGCCATAGTTGTATACGTAGTTGTTTGCTGTCTAGATATTGTAGATAAATGCTTTCCTTCAAAGGCACAAATTCATCCTCCTTTTACCTTTTCTCGTCTCTCACATAACACATAGCTCGTATATATCGACTGGATCATATTAGGCTTTCTCATTCAAGATTAACGGCATCCGATGCAAGATGGCAGCTCCATCGTTCGTCTGCGCCAACTGGGACCCTGAGCATACTGATTGCCAGAAAACAGGCAAATCCGCGTGTAAAAATTGTCGTCTTGTCCTTGTGAGTTCTAGGTCCCAGCACGCTTGCTTTCTTCTACATTAACTTAGGTCTCTTCTAATAAGTAATTTCGTTACAAGTACTGCAGTGCAGCATGTCAAAGATCTCACTGGTCCCATCACAAGTCCGAATGCAAGTCGCCACTGGGAAAAGAAACATGGCAGCCTGCCTGGGCTCTAGAGAGCCGTAAGCCTGCATTTACTGGAGATGATATTGGAAAACATTTCGGGGCGACGAAGTACCTCTGGGGTAACATCCCTGCATATGACGTTCTTCAACTCGAATCGAATGAAGGCAAAAAAGCTATGCCAGAGACCTGCACATCTTATTTGCAGGTGTGTGCCCAGCTTACCTGAATACATTTGCTTCTCCAGCTTCATGCTTGCCCAAAACTGACATCAGTTTCCAACAGCATCAGGAGATCTTCGAAATATTATCATGACCATCGTCCGACTTCCGAGTAGCTATAGTCACTCCATAGAGATCACCATGAACGACAGGGATTTGGACATCGTGGCTCGAAATATTATTATGCTTCTTATCGCTCTAACCCTCGAGGAAGTTGATGAGGCAGTCGACTGTATCATTCACGTCTGGTACTCAGCTCTTGTACGTCAGTCAGATATCGAAATTTTTCAGGGCCGCATTCGTCCTCTTATTGAAGATGTTTGCAAAAAGATCAAAGACAAGACATCCGGAAAGCTCCTAGGAAAAACTTGGAAATTTGGGCAGCGCTCTCTCAGAGTTGTACTTGAGAAATCATCATGGGACAGCCTTTTGTCTTTCTTCCACAAGCCAGCTGCCTTGACAACGAAACGAGCGCATGATATCCGCGCAGAAATTACCCTCGCTGAGTCACGGATAGACTATCGTGATCGGCATATGTATCGCCTGCAGGCTCTCGAGAGAATAGCTTTCAACAAGTTTCGACAGGACGGGCTCCTGCTTCCATTTGGATACCCGCGATCTGAGTTCTGCGAGCCAAACCCGTGGGTCAAACCTAACTACAGCACTAGCTTAAGCTTACAGAATATAGGACGTTTTTCCAAACTGATACTTGGCCAATGAAAGACAGTGCAGACCCTCTGGAGCGATGGCCTTCAGAGGACGTCGCAAATACTTCTAGTGGCTTTGCAACTGCTGACATTTACGGCAAGCTTTTTTACTATATTCGCGGGCTGCTTCGGTCTTTTCTTGATCGACTATCAGGCTCGACGATTTCTTTCAAAATGTTTCAGCTTGATGTCATGTCCCTCGATGAACATCTTGCCAGTGATACCTTTAACAGAGTCGAGGTCAGTATGCTTGCATCAATCTGAATAAGAAGAAAGGACGTACCATCAAGAAATTCCATTCTATATAGGAATATAAAGCACTGATGTCAATGTACAGGTGTCAAACATCTCAGATGCCGGGTACGTGGGAATATACCGCACGCTAGCATGGATGATTCCCCTACTTCAACCTCCTACCGAAAACCCATATGCGACCCTAATAACTCTATTCATGAACGCTGTTGCCGAGGTCTCAACCGTGCAAGATCAAATACATGACATGACTCCCAATAGTCAAACAACAAAGAAATTGCTCAAATATCTTCCTCCAAAAGAAAGCCAAGTTCCCCTTACGATCCCGTCCTCGTAAAATTTAGTCTTGGCCTAGATCTTGTTACGACGTATAACCACATCTTAGACAGGTGAGTATAAGGTCAATATAGGGAACATGTTTTGAGACTAACCCCATACTAGGTACTTGCTAAATTACAAGTTCCGTGAGGCTGCTGAGCACTTCGGTGCGACAATGAAGGAAAAGCATACTATCATTGATAAGTGGCCCTACAGATTGAAGCTGTGGCCTGGTCAGGCAAGGGCGCAAGATGAGTTTGACCGACTCCTTAGCAGAGGAACTTCAGGACAAGAACGCTACATAGAATGGAAAAGAGCTAATTTGGGCATGCCTTAAGCATTATCACTACCTAAGACGGAGTGTCTTTGTCTTTTATTTGTTATAGGAGACTTTTATCTCTTCAACGAGTCTCTCAAAAACTGCAACCCTCCGTGGGGCTACATTGGTAACTCTATCTCCTCGCTTCCTAGACCCCATTGATAGAGATCTACTCCGAAGCAAGGCAGCCGAAGAGGTTCTTAAAAATTAGAAAAGCGATTTTCGATGTGGAAATTTTACATGCATCTTTTAGAGCAGGCTTCCCTCTCTTGGTTAATGAATAGTCAAGAATGCCAAAGCACAATAACGTTATCATAACTCCAATACATGTTTCAACGTCCACAATTGTGAGATTGTATGTTTTGATAACATTAACGGTTAACTCATTCTAAATTAACTTTGGTTCACGTATGAAATATACGACAATAAAAATCAATTATAATTATTCCTAGTAAACAAATTCCGAAGCTCGATTCAAGTAGAATACATACAGCTGGTAAGGCTCATACTAGCGTAAATTTACTTGGTAGATGGATTGGGCATCCCCGCGGTATCAGGCCACTTACGGAACAGGTCGGCGAGATGATCAATTGGCGCCGTTAGAAGCCCCACAGCTGTCTCATATGGTGGCTTATCCGGTGCACTAGGGTGAGAACGCGAAGGGACGAACATCTTCGTTCGGCCAAAGCTCTTAGCATAGGCCTCACTCTCCTCTTGCGATAAGGCCTCTTCTAGCTTAGGCAAATCGTGCGTCTCCTCCTCTTTGATGTGCTCGGAAAGATTATCCATAAGCTCCTTAATAGTAGGAATAAACTGCGTATCCGAAGCTCCCATATTCTGGAACGCCTTTAGTTGCTTTTTAACCTAGACCCATAACGTTAGTACAGTAGCTGGAGATAGTAGATAAAGCTCAACTCACTGTCAAATGCTCGTTACGGTCCTTGTTAGCCATTTCGATGCCACCGGGGAGAAGCTTCTCGAAAAGAGGATAAACAACGAGCTCTTCTCCAATAGAGTGTCGAGCTAGTTCCCAGGTGAACTGATTCTGGAAGCGTGTCTGCTCATCCTTGTCTGTGGAGGTAATGATCTTGTTAAAATAGGATTCAATTTCCCGGTGATCCTTTTTGATTGTGTCGCTAATGCCGGGTGCCATGGCGATAGGTGAAGTTGCAACTCCACGTCTCTGAACACGTAACACGATGTTGCTGAATAGAGTGGTTTTTGACGGACGGAGAACGAAAGTCATTATAGCATTGGAATAGGAGATTCTTGACAACAAGTTTGACAGGCGGAAATATGCTCTTTTTATACCAGAAGTGAATACGGTCCCTAATTCTCATTGCTCGTTCTAGGGCAAGATCATACTGACGTAATATAAATATATGTATGGTAGTAATGCAAGAGATGGCAACCGGGTCTTTTGGCTGGGATGATGTTCCAATCAGAAAAGATTCAATGGTAAGCATCATAATGACGGGTCTCAGGCTTCGGGTTCTGCTCCCTTCCATCCACACCTTGCATATTTGACAAGATGTCCGAATTCAAGTTTAACCCTGCAAGTAGGTTGTTTTCCCTCTGCTCCATCGCGTTCCCGTAGACTGAAGCCTGTAAATCTTGGTTGTAGAGTCTAGGCTTTTGATAAGTGGGCCCGGTTTTCCCTGCCACATTTAAGTGTGAACGTTCGAAAAAAGGAATTGGCTGATTAGTTATCCACGTAAAGCACGAAAAAGGATGTTTGCTCCGCCACTGTTATCCAATTTATCAAGAGTGCTGATAAAAACTAGCTTCTATGCTGAGCATATGATGGAGGTGGGTGGTTACTGGTGCTCCGAGTTCTACACTAACAGGAAATTTAGTTCAATATCTTGCCTAGGTTCCTTTAAAGCGTGTTGTCCGGGAACCTGCTTAGCGGTGGTATTTAAAGGGCATCCAAACTTGACCTAGCCAAGCTTCTCCCCGGCTAGCACAAAATGTATGACGTGTCTCTGCCACTAGCCAGAGAATTGGTCGTGGATGTCAAGGGCTGGGCAAAAGCCGCCACGCCCAATGATAGAATCTACGATACATTTCGGTTCATTATCCCCCGCACGGGAATGTCCCTCCTCGATCGCGACAGGAACTTGATCAAGAAGAATATCTTCATGGAATATTTTCAAGAAACATATTGACAGCGGGGGGCGCCGAAGGCTCAACCGCACGAGATGGTTATAGGACAATCTTCATTTGGGAACATAAGTTAACTTGCCTTTGTAACCGTGAGATCGATAAACTAGCACCAGGCGAGTATGGAGCCTGGGTGTAAGACATGGTGAAGTTTTTGCAATGCTCAGGAGTGCGGACGAAAGAGTCGACACACTGGCTGTTACTTATATGTTCGATATCTTCAATTGACATGAGAGTGTTGACTGGCGCCACTGAAGTTAGAATTGCTCCATCACCACCTTGAACTTAATAATATGGTTTCTTTTTTGTATTGAATTATGTTTGCGATCTGTTAATTTGTTATAAAGCTGGAGGCGAAGTGCATCATGGCGCTATTCTGCTTGGTTCTATAGTGGACTAAATAATCAATGTTCTTGGAGTCTCTACATACATCCTTTTCTTAGCTGCTATAATGATATTGGTTTTAGCACTACCTTAGCCCTCTAAAGTAGATCTTAAAGAGCAATATAAAGAGCACTAGAAAGAGCCCTATAAAGCGTTCCAAAAGAAAATGGTAGAAAGGGTGATGATTCTAGTGCTAAAACTATGTAACATGGATGAAGTGAAAAATGGAGCTTTTCATTCCCTTGTTTATATCCAAATTGCGGCCTTAGGTCTCGAGTGGAGTGTAAACTTTCTAGCAGGCCCAAAGTCTACTTTGCTACAGCGGCATTCAAGTTAGCCTACCGCATATACTTCATGTGTAAACCTCCTATTACCCTCTGTCATCATTCTATACTTAGGCAGTAGGGGTCTACATTAGGCGGAGGTTTGCTAGGCCACTAAGTCAACTACGAATTACGAAGTGGTTTCAGGACCTAGATAACTTATCTTATAAGCAGTCGGGAATTGCTTAGAATCTACGAGGAATAACTAAATGCACATATAATTGGATTTTCAAAAAATTTCAAAAATTGGTCTGGTAGTAAGGAAAAACAATCTATAGTCTAAAGGCGAGCATGGTAAGCGCTATAACTTACTTTTTTTTTTTTCTTTTTTTTTTTTTTGATTTATCTGGCCTATGGCAATAATCAAGCAAAGCTAAACTTCAAAGTTGAACATGATAAGTGCTGTAAGTTACCATATACATCAAGACCTAAGGCAAAATGGAGGAGACTCGATTGAAAGCAAAGACGAAGTAGATTCGAAGAAACCGAGTTCTTCTCCCTACTTCTTCCCTTCCTTCTTGTCATCTTGGTCCTTATTTTCTGGATGGTTTGCCTGGTGTTGGCACTTGAGGCATGAATTACCGGGCCTGTAGTAAGTTTGTGGGTGCTTCTCACACTCAACTACATGTCCCTTTGTAATGCATCGCGGAGTCACACTGTGACGGGGAGGGGTAACCGGGCAGTTCACCATTTTGGTCATTGCTGCGATGCTTTAGAAGTAGGCTGGTTTTGGGTTTGTGTTCGATGTTCTGAGAGGATGTTTGTTTGTGTGATGGTGATGTTCATTTGGCGTGGACTTCTCCTTTTTATACCCGAGCAATACCTCGAAATTCTTGATCGAATATTATGGCTCAATGAGCATAATAGGATCTTTGTTCTTTTTGTAACCTGCTTATTTTGACAAAGACATGAAAGGAGAGGATAATACCTTTGTTTCTTACACTTTCCTCCCCGAGGCTCTTTGTATCGAGGGACTCAGTGACTTGGAATATCGAGGCGAAAGCTCTTTGTCTTGGGAATAGTAATTGTTACATTACATTGAAATAAGCATCTAGGTAGCTACTGGACATAGCTTATGGGCGGTCTGGACGTAGCAGCTCAAACAGACGTGGTTGACCATCACAGAATAGCTAGCCGCCCTAGCCATTGCACCTTTTTAAACCGAAGTGTTTTGTATGGTCCCATATAATATTTTAGTAGGATCAATACGATGGGATTAAAGAAAATGATTCCCAACTACAGAATACAACAGATAAATGTACGTAAAGCCTCCAATTATATATAGCACGGTAGAAAAAAATAAAGTACCGAATGGAGAGGGATGCCAGCATTTCATGTTCCAAAAGATAAAAATAAAACTCCGGTCCTTTTGGATATCTCCATGTATTCATCTTCGCGTCTTAACATCCTCAAAACCAGGGCGAGTCATCAAGTAACTTGTCACATCACTGTCGCAGTGGCAGTGGTGCTCCATCCCCCGGGCCCTGTGCAGCCAATCGTTGCAGACAAGAAAGGACACCTAGAAATAATTAGATAACTGTAACAATAGAGAATACTAGTGAAAACCTACCGGTCACACCCTGAGTCAGGGTCGCCTTCGCCTCGGTGCTGCGCGAGCCCAAGGTGACAGTCATGGCGTATTCGACAGCCTTGGAGCGTTGCAGTTTGTTGGCCCACCGGAAAACAGGCTCGTCCTCACGATTGTCGCCGATAACAAGCAAGAAATCAGGCTTTACGCCTTCTTTAGATTTCTCGTCGTGTTCAAGGAACCACTTCCAAACCAGCGCCGCCGCAGATGCCTTGTTAGTATGCGTGGTTTCCACAATCAAAGCACCCTCGACGGGAATGGCATGCACGCCTTGGTTAGCGCACGCATCATTGATGTTTCCTGCACACTCAGCAGCAAGGCGGGCAGCAATGTGACGGTCTTCTGCGGATCCGTGATGGAAGACCAGCGAGCAGTGGCGCTCCTCGATCCAGCTGCCTTCCACCCGAGCCTGGAAGTAAGCCAGAATGTTGGACACTGATTCCTTCCATGCTTTGACGTGTAGCTTATCCGCGAGATGAGTCCACACATCAGATTGTGGTTCGCGCACAAAGCATCCGTTCTCGGCGATGAGGCCCAGGTTGTTGACCTGTCGGAACAGACGTTCCATCTCCTCGGGCATGCGAGAACTCATGACGTAGACCACGTTCGCGGGGTCATCGGTCAACTCGGTCAGAGTAGTGATTGCACGCTGCGGGGTGGTCAAAATGATGCTCCGCGGGGATCCCCACGAGGCTAGTGTGCCTTCGTAGTCAACGATCATAAGTCGTCGTTTCGACTGGCGATACTGTTCGGTGAGTCGAGATACAGACAGCCGTGGGACAGCCATAATTTCTCGTGACGACTGCTCGTTCCAGACCCGCGCAAGAGTTTCATTGAACGATTTAACCCAGTTGACAGTGGAGTTTTGTAAGACTGCACGGAACATTTCCTCCCAGACCTGCTTCCGTTCTTTCTCATCACGAGTCAAGGCCGTGTGAATTGCTTCGGAGCACTGACGGTAATCCCAAGGGTTGACTAAAAGAGCATGATTTTCAAAGACAGATGCACTTCCAGTGAACTCGCTCAGAATCAATGAACCATATGCCTTGTCACCGTACCGGCCGTCCTGGCAATAGACAAATTCGTGACTAGTTAAGTTCATGCCCTCGCGCAAACTGGTAATCATTAAAGCATCCGCCACAGTGATTAGTGCAAGGTATTGTGGGAAAGCCAGATCTTGTTTAAGGAAAACAAGGGGTTGGTGGGCAAGAGTCGAGTGCATGGAATTGATCCGCATAGCAATATCAGAGAGAGTCGCCTCCAGATCAGGCTGATCCGTAGTGCTAGTTGCGACTTGAATCAAGACCACTTTATCAGCCCATTCTGGGTATGTGTTCAGGAAAAGCTCATAGCTAAGAAGCTTTTGGCGAATGCCTCGGACAGAATCTATTTTGTCGCGCGAAACGATGAGACGCTTTCCTTGATAGCGTTCCGAGATTGTATCGACCCAGCGTTCCACGTCTGTCGATTGACGGCGCGTGTCCCAAGAAGTCGGATCAATGCCGATAGGGAACGTACCCACGTTGACAAACCGGTCTTCCAACTGGATACCTTCAGGCGTCGCTTCCACGCAAAGGATCCGACTGCAGGTTTGCAAGAAGTGTCGGCAATATTCATCTGTCTGGAAGCCAATAAGATTGGCACCCAGAATACCCTCGAGGAGTTCCTTTCGAGGAGCCAAACACTTGAAAACTTCCGATGACGGGAAAGCAATATGTAAGAAGAACCCGATTTGCGCATCTGGCAACAGCTTGCGAAGCATAGCTGGAACCAGTAACAGGTGATAATCCTGAACCCAAATTGAATCGCCACGCTTCCAGTCCTTCGCAATGCGCTCCGCAAATGCCTGGTTAAGCTTGACGTAATAGACCCAAGAGTGATCTTCATAGGCCTTGCTCTTTGGGTTATCCGGAATCTGATAGTGGAATACTGGCCAAAGAATGGTCTTGCAGAAATGTGTGTAATGACCGTCAAAGTCACCGTCGCTCACACAAACAGTCAACGACCCGTACTCATCCTCCAGTTTCTCTGCAATATCTTGCCAGGTGTACTTTGCCAAGGCATCAGTCGGCATCCCCAAAGTGCCTACCCACATCATCTGATCCAAGAACCCAGCATCCGTCGCAGATCGCACGGCATTTCGCAAACCACCATTTCCCTGCTCAGCAGGTTCGATTGTCCACTCGGCCTTGGAAAATGACACTTTTCGGTTCGCAAAGTGAGTCCATCTCTGTCCCGATGGAGGGGCGGCCTGGGTATCGGGAGCGCGCGATGAGACTGGTTCCTTGGCGAGAGGGGGATCCTGGTGTTTAAGGATAGAAGGTGAGGGGGAAACCAGCGGCTTTGCCTTTGGCTGGATTAGGGAAGTGGTAGCTCCCCATGCTGGTGAATGACCCTCGCTCTCTGTAAGAAGCCGGTTCTCATGCTCAGTAGCCGAAGGAAACGGATACCCGCTCTTGTCTTGCTCCGCCTGAGCTACACTGGAAGCGAAGATGCGCTCATGATCCGTGGTGGCACCAGGGGTCATTCCAGGTGTTTTTGTTGGATTGTTCTTCTCGAACAAGCTTGCGGCGGCACTGGGGATGGCACTGATTCCATCGACGGTGGGGGTCGCGGATGGAGGGCCGATTGGGGGAGATCGGCTGCGCTCATTATTGACATGGAAGTTAACCGTGTAAGGCAGGAAGCTAGCATATGCACAAGTCAGTAATGAGACACGGACTAGCAGAGGGCCACATACAGGGACGCAATGAAGACGGTCATGGTGATCGACTCGAGCCCGGCCGGACAGAAGGGTTGAGGTTGAAACACCAGAGAATGAGCTTTGAGGTAATAAGAATAGAGAAAGCAAATGCGAAGCGAATAACGAATGGCAGCTTAGGAGTCTAGCAATTGGGGTAGAGGGGGAGGGAAAAAAAAAAAGAGTTACACGATGTGTTCTCTCATGGCTACGTCATGTGAAAGCGCAGTGGGCTTGAACAACCAAGTTTCCCCAGACCTTGCAGCAAACACAAGACGGCAAATCTGTTGATATCACGAAAACACTGGATTCTTCTGAATAGTTGCAGAACCAAGGAAGATCCCAACAGAGCTGTGATGAGAGTATTACCACAGCTTACGGACTAATACCAAGTTCCCCCACTTGATGCGCTGCCGGGTATTCCCGTACGGTATTACCATTACCGAAGTATGGCCGCTGGCCCGTGATTGGCGGAAACTCGTAAGCAGTCACCTGACATGAGGTAATATCTTCCAATCAATCCAGAACCTGAGTCGTTCATCCCTGCCATGACCTTGCGCCTCACTTCTGCCCCGGTATCTGGCGTCAAAAAACGAAAGTCCTCTGCCCCCAGACCTCGCGCCTCACCTTTTGCCGCTCATGCACGCCGCAAGCCTCCATCTGGGGCCAGCAGCTTGAAGTCGACTGCGACTGCCGATCTGAGTTTGGATGATCCGCTTCCAGATTTAGGTGGGTCGCATTACATTTCGCAGACTGCACCGGTGCAGAATGTGCTAGAAGCTATTCAATATATCCGCGATGGTATATTTGAGGAGCTCCCCCAGCGAGCGGGCATGAATAGCACTCGGATCGCAGAAGTCCTCAACTTACGCCGATCATTGCCGCCGCTCGCCTCGGTAGCCCACGTTCATACTCTTCTGGATGCACCAACGCAGGTGGAAAGGGAGATCGTCGAATTAGTTCAGACGGGCCAGGTTCGGCGACTCATTATTCCTGGTCGAGGTAATGACGCGGCAGGACTGGGTGATTGCCTGGTGTTGGCAGAGGACTGGGAGAAGCTGGTACAGGGAAGCGCTCTATTAGACGCCCCAACCAAGGGTCAGTATTCAGTATTATGATGGTTCGAAGAGACGACAATTAACACCTTTATAGAGAAGTTCCTTGATATTTTAAAACGCATGGGGACCTCCTCGGCGATATCGCAGGGGGTCTTTACGACTGATGAATATAGGGCATTGCTTCGTGCTGGCTTCATAGTCTCATCATCATCATTCACACAAGGGTCGTTGAGCGTTGCCTCTCTTCCCAATTTGCCTACTTCGGCAGCTTCATCAGCCAGTCGGAAAGAATATACTCAGTCCAAGACTGAGCGCCCTGTGCAGTCAGATGCTCAGGCGCGTGCTGCAACCCTTTTCCTATCTCTTCCTAATACCGGGACATATCTTCGCCTACTAGGATCTGGTCGCGCACACCTGCTAGCTTTACTGCGGAGGTCTGCTTCTGGCGAAGTCCCTCTAGGCCTGTTGAAAGACAGGTGGGATGGAGCTGTCGAGACTGAAAAGAGCTTTCATCTTGCCAAGCGAGCTCGCGGTGAGTTTGCTGGCATTCTTCCCGGTAAAACGAAGAAGTGGAAGGAGCTATATGGCATGCGCTTCCGCTGGGCGCTGGAAGAAGCTCTTGGCGCGGGACTAGCAGAGATCTTTGAGACTGGTAGCGTAGGACCTGGGATCCGTTCTTTATAGTATTGAGCTTTATAAATACCACATACTGCTTATCCACGTGATACTATGGTTTTTTGCATTCCGTAACAAGTCACGTTCGAATGGTTTTTAGGACGCGTTCCAACGCGCTAGACAACGTGATCTGCTTGCTACAGTGAAATATAAAATCCACAAGCATTGCCGATCACTCCACTTTTGCAAGCCACCTCCAACATCATCACCAATACATACTCCTTTCAGAATCAAACCATCAAACAGTTCATCATGCCAATAATCCAAATACAACCCCACCCAATCACCAGCCTCCCCCACCACCCAGATCTAGAAACAAGAGGCCCCAGCCGCCCATTACAGGAACACATCCGTGCCACTCTCGAAGAAGCACATGAAATCCTGGAGAGTCTCCCGTCCGACCTCAAAGCACAATCGAAGCTTCGCAAGTCTCCCCCATCAGATGCAAAAGTCAAGCTGAGCCAGGGATGGCGAACACCCCTACATAGCGACCCTAATGCCCAAAAGGAATATTGGGTCTCTCGCGAAAGTGAACATGAAGACTCAAGTCGCAGCAATGGATCTGCCACCTGGCAAGAATTCCAGAATGGGCTGCATCAAGACCATGCTTATCATGAGATGGAGTATACTCCTAGTGTGACGCGTGTGGTGCAGCTTCTCAATTGGGCGGAAGGGGAAGATGATCATCTGGATCAGGATATCGATATCAAGAACACGCGGTACAAGCAGTTTGACGTCCAGTGTACGTTGACTGATTCACGATCGATTAACCAGATCAACTCCCCTACCCATTTACCTACTCCTTCCCTCTTCCTCTCTCTCTCTCTCTCCCCATTCCACTGAACATCCCACATCTACATCTATCCAACCCCAAACCAAAACCCAACTAACAACCCCACCCAGTATTCCTAATAATTCACACCTTCAACCCTGGCCGCCTAATCCATCCACGGGCATTCCTATCCTTCACAATTTCAGCAACAACGCAAAGCCTCCTCGCGCCAAACCGCGACACGCCAAACACCCGCCACCCAACAGAGGGCTTCATAACAATCCAAGTCCCCTACTCCATAGACAATTGCGGGCCGAATCCCGCATTTGTCGATTATCAATACCATGGCCTCTATTCACGAATCATTAGCAATATCCCGCCTCGAACAATCTTTGCCCATTATGCTAGTATTGAGCGGGTAGAGTTGCTTGTTCTGCCTACTGATAGATCTATTTCTATGTTGGGCCAGGGCGAGGGTGTGGCTGAAGGTGGAGGTGAGCTGGGGGTTACTACGCCTTCGCCTTTGAATACGCCTTCTACTTCGACTGGGAGACGGGTTAGGTGGACTATGGCTACGACTTCGGATGCTGGGGGGAAGATTCCGGGGTGGGTGCAGCGGAGTTGGATGCTTGGGGGTATTCCTAAGGCAGTTGTTGCTGATGTTGGGTTGTTTATTGGGTGGGTTGTTAAGAGAAGGAGGGTGAGGGATGTGAGGCAGGAGGAACATGAAGAGGAGCGTTGAGGAAGGGAAGAGGATCGGATGAAGAAGATCTGTGCCGGACTTATGTTCCATGAATCTTGTCTTTATCCAGGCACTTGACTACGTAGTCCAGGCTGGATAGCTTTGAACACAATGAAATCAGCAACTATGAAATTCAACAAAATGTAGAAAAATAGTAAATGACTATACATATCTCTGTAGGAGACCTCCCACAGACATATGCCCATAAACCTAGATATGGAAACATATCTCACAGAATAGCCTGAACAACCCCCCAAGCCTGCAAAACAGCAGACAACCCCACAGCCAAAGCATTATCCTTAATACCGTGCTTAACATACCAAGCCGAACTAGACCAAAGCAGTACATTAACGATACCGGCAATAGCCTTGTTAATTGGGTCTTGGAGGGCTGTTGGGTCGCGAGACCATTGGTAGTGCAGTAGACCTATAGAGATGAAGTTTCATGGTTAGGTAAGTTATTCGAGTTGAATTGACAATAATCAAACCACGGAGGTAAGGTAACTAGAGTTTGGACGATAGAAGGATGGAAGGGTGTACGGAAGGAAACATACCAGTTAAGAAGAAGAATGCACTTCCCTGTTATAGTTCATAGAATATCAGAATTAGATATCTCTTATGGTTTGGTATATGATGTCATGTGGACATAGGAAAGGATCTTGGACATACCTGATACCATCCTACAGTCCCACTAGCCCATGGCTTTGTTCCTGCGATGGCCCTGAATCGGGGGTCTGAGGTCCACTGCCTACCATTGACCTGATAAAGGAATCAACATCAAGGTTGTGAAAGGGGGTTAGGTTGTTTAGTACCGTATGTCCTATAGAGAGGAGAACGAAGGATGCAGCGGATGCTTGGAGGAGGGAAGGAGACATTGTTTAGATATTGGATGTGGTACGCTGTATATGGGAGTATGTGTAGTAATGAGATATTGGACAGGGTACTCTGTTGTCTGCAGATAGGATGCAGAGCGGATCCGAGCTTAATGAATGATGAGGTGCCTCGGCTTAATTTCGGGCCGTGTGGAGGTGAAGGTGGAGTTGTCCGAGGTCCACACTAACGTGCGAATGGCAATATGAGTCTCATAGATTCACCTAGAACTTGAAGCGAGAGATAAAATTACTTGTAAACTTGATCTTCAAATATAGGGTATATTATCACTACTTAAGAGGGAAATAGCGCAACAAATATAAGACTCCAAACACAGCGTAATCCATGCACAGTATTCCAATGCAATCACCAACTCCATTTTGGAGAGAGTCGCCCAAGACACGAGGTGTCTTGGTGTCCTGGTGGTCCAACGAGGAGTATTCCCCAGTCCGTCGAGATACCAGCCCATTTTGGGGCGCCAAACTCCTTCGGTCATTCAAAAGAGGAAAAAAACGAAATGGAGACAATGTGTAGCTCTCTCCAATGAATATAAAAAAGTAGGCTAGAACGGAAGGACGTCCAGAGTATAAGACTCCAATAGCTCCAATAGATAAAAGGGATAGATGATAAAGGAAAAGGAAAAGGAAAAGGGAGAAGGGAATGTATAACACCAAAGCCGGAACCGTCGGTATGGTGATCATAAAGGCATCAGGTTCAGACCCAGATGGGTGGAACGTATCAACAAAGTGGAGAAAGAGAGGGTGAATAGCGGCCAGTTCACACTGGTGACTAGCCATATCATACACATTCAAGTCACACGTAGACAGATTACCGTGGTCCGGTATTGTTCATGTTCACTTCGACCGGGGCCGGGGGTGCTGATAGATTGGACGAGGCGATATGTGCCCGTAGGGTAGAAACTTCAGTCCGCAAGGCGTTCAGTTCTTCGTGCATTCCTCGGACATACGACCAAAGTTTATCGACTTGGTTGGCGTCACTTGAGTTGACTTCAAGCCCATCAGGTCCCTTGAGAGCAGATATGCTGTGAGTGCTGGAGTGGCTGTGCGAAGGAGTGTGCTTGGCTGCCGCTTGCAAGCCAAATCGACCATCGGGGGAGGTCATCCCCGGCGGCGGAGGAAGCTGGGGTACTCCTGGTTGCGGGAGGGGGAGACCCAGTGTAGGTGCGTGGTTTGATGATTGACTCGCTCGTCCGAAAGAGGACTGCGGGTGTGGCAAGGACTGTCCCATACCGGGTGAGTGTGCGCGGTGTGGCGGTGCAGTATCATGTTGCGATGACAGAGCACCCGGGGACAGCGGCTTTGGGCTGTCACTAATGTTGTTTGCAGTGAATATAGTCGAGCCAGAAGTGTGACCTGCGGGTGGGAAAGTCAAGTTTCCAGCCTGCGAGGTCGATGTAGACGCGCTTGAGCCACCGTGATTAGCCGGGGGTGGGAAGAGATGGCTGGGGCGGCTAGCTGCGATGGGCGGGTAGGTGTTTGACTGACGAGACTGGAGTGAATCAGACGGAGCCACGTTCTCTGCCTCATGCTTTCGGATGCTCGGCATCAGGCGTCGCTCGTCTTCTTCGTCCATACGCTCCGGCTCAGCCGTATACATCAGCCCATCCATGTCGTCCGGACCAGCGCCACCATCGCCGTATTCATCATCCGCAAAGCTGCCCATGCTCGCACGTCGACCAGCGCATCCTCCCTGCCCTTTGTTGTGCCGAGCAAGCGCGTCGCCCCGAGCGAAACGACGGCCGCATTTGGGACAGATGTGGGGTCGCTCGCCAGTGTGCAGTTTTGTATGGCGCTTCAAGTCGTGTAATCTCCGGAAACGCGACTGACAGGTTTGACACACGAATGGCTTTTCCTGACTATGCGTGAGCAAGTGGCTCTTGAGATTATGTTGCCGGGTAAACTCTGTGGAGCAGTAAGGACAGCGGTGTTTCTTCGCAGACGGCGAGCGAGGGCTGCCTCTATTATAGCCTGCATTTGGGAGACTCAATCCACGCCGCGGGTCATTAATATTGCCCGTGGGCATCGGATAAGAGAATGCTTTGCCATCGTGGTCGATCTCGGAGTCGTCGCGCGGGCGTCGATCTCCGTCCTGCGAGGTCGATTCTTCGATAGGACCAGGACTAGCGACGGTAGAAGAGTGCATAAGTGAATTGTGGTGGTGATCGTTTGATCCGTATGGGTCCGATGGTGATTCGGTCGCGTGTGAGTCGACCTGCATCTGTTCCGGGGATGCATGGACGGCGGGCTCGTGGATTGGGGCGCCTGGCGACTTTTCACTTGCGCCTAAGGCCTCCCGGGCAACCTGCGAGCTGTTTCGTTCAGCTTCCTTGTCGTGCTCCGGCCGATCCGCCGGTACTGCTGATGGGCTCGTCATTGGAGGTAGTTGGTCTCCCGATCGCGACACGTGGAGACCGGCGCTGGCAATGGAGCTCAGACTGTCGGGCTTTTGGGATTTAAATATAGAAAGAGGCTCAGTTCTAGTGATGGAGTTTCCAGATAGGTTGGACACGGCGACAGGCTCGGTGTTCGACATCAACGTCGCCATGGAGAAACGATGTTTTGCGCCCTCGAAGGGTGGACGAGCCAGAGCGACTACTTCGAAGGCCATGTTAGATATGCCAAGCAGAGGGGATCAAAGAAACTCACTTTCATCCAGATCGGGGATTTGAGGATGTAAAAGCAGAGGTTGGGG